AGTATTTATAATTCTAGGATATTAAAGTGCTTTAGACCCTAAAATTTATGTATATCTGTAGTCTGTTTGTGAACATATTGAACATTCCTGCGTATAGTAAATTTCCCGTAAAAGCTTCCTATGATCATCAGACTTTATGTATGTTTAATTAAAAAAATGTTGGTTTAATTATATTTTAAATCCATGTAGGTGTATCATGCATTTAGGTGCAGTTAAAGGATGCAATATTGTTTGTCTTTAATATTGAACATTCAGAGATAAAAATATTGTCTGTTCTATACAGACTATATATACTGTATCTATATTCATACATTTGAAAACACACATTTGTAACAACTAACAATACAAGCTGTTCAATGTTACATGAAAGTGATTGGCTGATCATAATGAATGATGTCAAGTGGTCCTTACAAACATTAAAGTTGAAAAAGACCTGGCTAATTGACTGTTTGATTTAATTAAGTTTCGAATGACGAGGGTAAACAGACAGTGACAGCACAGAATAAAGACACACAGAAGGTTGACTCAGTGTAACCGCTGCCATGCCATGATTCGTCATCAAAATGCTGATGCTGATGGTCCTAGCCAGTGGGCTTATGAGAGGCATTCCCCCCCTGGATGTCTGCCATTTTGAATATTATCAGGGGCAGAGGGGTGAATGCCTCTCATAAGTGCACTGGCTAGGACCATCGCGTCAGCATTTTGATGACGAATTAAAGTTATGCCAAAATCATAGGAGAAACCAAGAAGTCAGGCTTCTGGTTCTGTACAGTCTCTATTCTGTAGTGACAGTTTTAGTACATACTGTAAAGGGACGGGTGCTGCCGGACCAATGGATTCCATTCCATTGTTGCTTGATGGCTGCTAGCCCATTGCTTGGTTACCAAGAAATGCCACAGTTGCTCCAGATGACCTGTGTTTCTGCCAACACATGGCAAACGTATGTAATGGACCATTTGCATTATAGACTAAATTTTGGCCTAGACAAAAATTTCATCACAGCTTGAAAGAGCATCACAAAATTAGTAATATTCCAAAGTTTCGTTGCGAAATGTTGTAAAATGCGGATAATATAACCTTGTGAAATTTGCAGTTTTCAGTCATTTTGTATTACAAACGGGAAATTGATGCCCCAACACCCGATTGGGCTGTCAATTTCCAAGCTATATTATCCGCCAGGCACGGATTTTCTGGGGGGGGGGGGATGCGGACCCCCATCACAATTACTAATTTTGTGATGCTCTTTCAAGCTGTGATGAAATTTTTGTCTAGACCAAAATTTAGTCCATAATGCGAATGTCCATTTGATATGAAAAGTATAATATATCATGTTAAATTTTCAGGCATTTCAAGAGGTTATAAAGAAGGATGAGCACTTGGCTGTCGGACATTTCATGTTGGGTGTTGTCAATTTAATGTGTGCAAGGTAACCATGAATAAACACAAAAGAACTTAAGCATTCTTGATTGGAGTATCCCTACTGACATTGTAAACATTTTTACTTTTCCACAGGCATTCAGACGCATTGGTTAACTTCAATGAAACGCTTAAAAATTTACGAGAAAAAAAATGTATTGACTACAGACAGTTGGGCTTGAGATATAAATTATACAAATGTGAGGTAAGCTTTGATTGGTTGATTTGCAAGAGAATAAGACTCTCAGTAGCTTCTGTAGTCATTGGCTTGAAGAAAGGAGCTAGCAGTTGCCTACACAGCCTTCAAACACCTTGGTAGATTTGAACAAGCATTACATGATAATACTTTTTGTTTGTGGAAACACAACATAAATTTATTACTGCATTTACATGGTGCGGTTTCCACAAGCAAAAAAGTATTATTGTTTTATCGGACTTCAATGATTTGGATTCTTGCACTTCACTTGGTGGAATTAATATTAGAATGTTAGGGTTTGTAATCCAAGTGAGAATATATACATTTTAAGACCTAACCAGGAACGACTGTGAAAAATGCAGCACAAGGTCCTCTGGTAGGAATTGAACATGAACTTACGGTTACAGCTCAACAGCTGGCCTCTGTAGCTCAGTTGGTTAGAGCGCTGCACCGAAATCACAGGGCCGTGGGTTCAATTCCTAACAGAGGACCTTGTGCTGCATTTTTTGCAGTTGTTCCTGGTTAGGTCTTAAAATGTATATATTCTCACTTGGATTATTGTTTTATCGCCATGCAAACCCACAAAGAACTTATTAAGCATTACCTGGTAGCAATTGTTTGGAAACTTTAGAAGTATGGAGACTTTGTCATCTATCATTTCTTATAATTTTTCTCCAAATACAAGACTACTTTATATAATAAAAAAATATTAGCATTACTTTCTCACTCTGATATGAACTGCAGGTTCACCACCATCTGCTGCACGATAGTGCTTAGTAAAACCCACTTGTACGTAGTGGTCAAGTCTAGCTACCTCGCCACATTTCCCAAGCATCTGGATTTGGCTTTTAGTTACTGGAGGCTACCTTGGCAAAAAATAAGTTAGAGATTCTAATTTTGTAGGTTCTGCTCAATCGAGCTGTATGTCTGTCAAGTCTTGGATATTTGGACAACGCAGTAGGAAACCTTCTATCCGCTCTTCAGTGTAAAGTGGAGCCTCGGCATAGCATCATAGATATTAGCTTGAATAATGTACAGGTATTTTTCCATTCAATTATTTTTTATTTACTGTAGAATGCAGTGACTGCTTCGTCATGCTCTTTATGTTCACGATTTTAATTAGCTTTCTAATTCCCATTTTAATGGAAGTAATTATAAACTTGTCACAATCAGGTGCCCAAAAATCACAGGAATTAGGTCTCAATGATCAACACTCATTTCAATGAAGAGTTGGTTTTCACTGAGAATATCTTCCCTTGGCTACATTTCCATTCAAATAATGATAAAATTGCTGTTTTTCTTATTCTCTGTGAATGTTTCAAGATGCTTTTAAAAGGTACAAAGCCAGTGTTCAAAATGTATGTCTTCGTTTAGAGTGGTCAAGGTATCGAGTTTCTTGTTATGGATGCAATTTTTCAGCCACCAAAATCCAAGACAGCAAATATGGAGAAGAGAGATTACCTGGGAAAATCACAGGTTTATACCAGCTTTTGTTTTTAAAATTTGTTTTTATTCGGTGATTTTGTCCAGTTGTAGAACTTCTCATCATGATAGTTTGGAGTGCATTTAAATACTGCGCCACATCAATTATTGTCACATCATACCCAGTAGGTGTGGACTGTTTCACAGACTGAACTAAAAACATCTTTTTATGTGGGATAGTTCTATAAACGGTTCTCTTCAGAGGTAAAGAAAAGCCATCTCTTGTTGGCCCAATGTTACTACAGGAGGAAAGCCAAGTACCCAGAGAAAATCAATATAGGGGCCTCGTCATAAAAGTCCAACAGTGTTTCCAGAGGTCTCTAGCCTGTTATACTATTCTATTAAACATTCAACTTGTACATGCAGTAAATATTTTTTGTGGGTAAATAAGAAAATCAGCTGTGTTTCTCGCGTTCAAATGAAGGAAAATTATGGTCAGAAAATGAAAGACACCGTCCACCAGTTGCTGAGATAAAAAGCGTTTTGTACATTAACCTCTTTGCCATCCTCTTTGCCGCATCTAACAGTTTAATTTTGCATTTCTACAGGTTGTTGTTGACACAGGAGCTTACGAGAAAATGGAGACCCCCTTACACTTGGTAAGAAAAAGAAATCACCTGAGTACACTACACTAACACAGCAAATATCATGATTATTAGATTACACTGATATCGAACTAGACTAGTTAAGTAGACTCAGTTCCGAAATATTCCGATAACTAGACTCAGTTCCGAAATATCACATACTCGAACCGAGCTGATCGCGTAGCTCAGTTGGCAGAGCATTGGGCTAGTATTCCAAAGGTCGTAGGTTCGATTCCCACCGTGGCCAGGCATATTTTTCAAGCCTGCCCGGTGTGGATATACTGTACACTCAGAGTAACATCACAAGCATCTTATTCACCTGAGTACACTACACCAACACAGCAAATATAGAAAATAAATCACGTTTAAAATAACCATTTTAAAGGCTGTAGTACCTGAAAAACGGACAAGACTTTAAAAACTTGTAAAATTGCCCAACGGGGTTTAAGTAGTTAAAATATTAAAGTCTGTGTTGATGCCTTTAACATATTAAATATTAAAATATTGTATGACGAAAATATTGTATGACGTCATGTGGGTGAACTAAACGAAATTTCTTATTTCTTTAGCGAGGTCGTGTGAACACCGGTGGTACAACAGCGCCACAGTCACCATCAGATTCTGGTGAGCTTTATCGAGTATTGTACGACTTCACCGCACAACATTTTAATGAGGTGTCTGTGAAAGCCGGTGACGTCATCACAGTGATTGAAACCGCTGACGATGGATGGTTCACCATGGTAACGAAGGACTCGAGAAAGGTAATTGAATGTGTTCCCAGGAACATCAGACTCACTATTCTTTTTAATTGCTATCAAATACAACACTGCTGTATATTGTAAGGTTCTTACAACACTTGAAAGCCCTTGAATGTCCTTGAATTTGAAAACAAAAATTCAAGGCCTTGAATGTTCTTGAATTTGTAAAGAAGTACTTGAAAGTCCTTTCTTGCTTTAGTTTTTTGATATTTTCTGAAATTGTTTGACATTCAAAACGGACATTTTGTTGAATTGATTTCGCATGTTCATATCTGTCAAAGCTGTTTGAAACTCATTAAAGTTGCGTTTTGAACAGTTCGCCTTCTCTCCAGTATTTAGTCCTTGAATTTGCTGATACAAGGCCTTGAATGTCCTTGAATTTGTAAAGAAGTACTTGAATGTCCTTGAATTCTTCTTGCTTTAGTTTTTGGATATTTTCTGAAATTGTTTGACATTCAAGACGGACATTTTGTTGAACTGATTTTGCATGTTCATATCTGACCTCATTACAAAGTTACGTTTTGAACAATTCGACGTCAGATTTTGCTGATTTCTAACGCCTTCTCTCCAGTATTTAGTCCTTGAATTTGCTGATACATGGCCTTGAATGTCCTTGAAAAGTCCTTGAATTTGACTCTTTCTGACATGTACGAACCCTGATGTATAATTGAACGAATTAACATAATTACTTTGGTGGACAACTGCAGGTTGGCCAGCATCTGCTGCACGATAATGAATCCACCATGATTAACCAACCTCATCTTACGTATCTTTATCACTGATCTGTGTTGATTTTTTAGACTGGACTAGTGCCAGGTTCTTATGTGGAGAAATATAGCAATAATGAAGAGGTGAGATTGAGATATCTTAATTTGAAAGAATTTTTAAAATTATATGCAAATCTCCTTTACCGTTTATTCCCATTTTGCTTAGTTTTTTGAAATATTTTCACTTCAAACAATATTAGCTGTCCTCCATCTTGGATAAATTTTTATCTCATCGGTGATTTTAGTGACGTCAAAAGCAGGGTTAGTTTGGGTTAGTGAGAAAATTTCCGTTCCACGCGCAAAATTCCGCCTAATAGAAAACCAGCTTTAAGGAGGGACTGCTCGCAGTAGAACTGTGCGGTTAATCGAAAAATTTGGTTCTTCTGGTACTTTTTTTAGCGCCGATAAGTTATACGCAAAAGAAGTGGTAGTTTCGGGTAGTACTCGGGTTTCCCTCGTTTCACTGGGACTCTACTTACTTTTCATTTTATTCTTTTTTCCAGCCTGTGACAACCCGTCAAGCTCTACTCACGGACCTGAGAAAAAAAGAAACTCGACAATCATTAAGAAGAGTTCAAGCGCCCGTAATCAAACCAACGTTCATGCGACATAGCAGCGCAACGGAAATTGGTGATCATACATACGCCAATGGCTTTAACTCATCCAACCGGAAAGAGAGACCAAAGACAGTAGAACTAGGAGGGTTGGGGAAAACTAGTCCGAAGCCTCCTCCAAAAGTAGAGCCAAAAATTCACGCAGGCCCGCCAAAATTTCGCCGAAAGAATTCGGTAGAAAACTTACTAGCGAACAAAAGCCCGAAAACTTCGCCAATTTTTGGCAAAAAGCCGTTCGACACAAAAATTTTCGACGATGAAAATAACAATGTCAATAGTGACGATGATGGTTACGAAGAGATGGCGGAAATTCGCGAAGTGAAACCGTATGCTATACATGATGTCATTTCACCTGCCGAAAGACTGAAGTCTATAAATGGTCGGAAAGGTCCGGGCAGACCCGCTCCGCCGCCGAAAGTCGTTATGACCATGAAGTCGTCACCCCCGACCGTCGCCCCGCGTGTTCCACGCGCGAATACGGTCTCCGCTCTTGGGTCAGTTGTGGAGCAAAAACGTGGGCGAGGATCACCAACTTCTATCCCCAAACCGGCTAAGATGCCCCCTAAAGGTTCTCAGTCACCCCCTAAATTACCTCAGTCACCCAGACGTAATAGGAAGGATGCAGACTCTACTGGGAAAGAGGTTTGTAACTTACTGAGCTGTTGTGTTGGGGTGTACTGTGTTGTGTTGTGTTGTGTTGTCCTGTGTTGTGTTGTGTTGTCCTGTATTGTGTTGTGTTGTGTTGTGTTGTGTTGTGTTGTGTTGTGTTGTCCTGTGTTGTGTTGTCCTGTATTGTGTTGTCCTGTGTTGTGTTGTGTCGTGTTGTGTTGTGCTGTGCCGTGTTGTGTTGTGTTGTCCAGTGTTGTGTTGTGTTGTCCTGTATTGTGTTGTCCTGTGCTGTGTTGTCCTGTGCTGTGTTGTCCTGTGCTGTGTTGTCCTGTGTTGTGCTGTGTTGTCCTGTGTTGTGTTGTGTTGTCCTGTGTTGTGCCGTGTTGTGCTGTGCCGTGTTGTGTTGTGTTGTCCTGTGTTGTGTTGTGTTGCCCTGTGTTGTGCCGTGTTCTGTTGTGCCGTGTTGTGTTGTCCTGCGTTGTGTTGTGATGCGTTGTGTTGTACTGTGCTGTTCTTTACGAATTATTAATGAGAACTGCAGATAATCATGATATGTGTTTATATTTTCAGGCTCGCAGTCAAAATGTGGGGTTACAGTTCACCGTGACAACGTCACTGAATATAAGCGCTTCAACCACACCCGAAGATATTCAAAATGCCGCGAAAGAAGCCATCACTCGAAATATAGCGTCGTATTTATGGTGAGTTTATTAGGTTAAGAAGTACTATTCAGATCTGAAGAGTTAAGATGTCAAAAACACTGACAAATGTCTTCAATTGCGTTTTTCCAGGTGCGAAAAAGATGGCAAAAGAATCCGCCTCGACGAACATAGAGCTTCAAACATTTCTGATCTGGTAAAAAATGGAAAACTAAACATTTGGTGTGGCCCTTAATCGCACGAACTTGATATTTTTTATATACTGTATGTGCACAAGAGCAGCGTAAGAAGCGCGAGTTCTAATGAGAGAGAAGCCATCAGGCAACATCATGTTTTGTCTTGTAAAACTACCGTGTGTTAACATGTTATGGCCATTTTCTACTTCGGACGTATCGTGTTTTGGCGTAGCGTATTTCTTTGTTTCCTGAGCACTTGAGTGGCACTAATGACTCTGAAACAAAAGAAAATGCTACGATTGAAGTGAGAAACGGGCTTTCTACATTGTGTGTGAAACCTACATATACACGACTCAGTTATCTGCTGGCAAATAAGTGAGTTTTCTGTAGGTGATGTGATTGTCATATTTATTTTTGTTTGCTTTTAGCCACTCAAAAAACACGTAGCAATGTGGTCACATTGTATTAAATTATAAGTTGAGACTACAATGTATAATAATAATAGGAGACAATATAAATAAAGTGAGAACAAATAATTTATATTTTTGGAGTAAAAGTGCATTTGTGTGTATGTGTTACCAATTTTTATCAAACTTTCGTTCGTAGGGATGCTCAACGTTTCGGGCGAAGGTCCTTCATTGGGAAGGTAGTTATTCACTCGAAACGTCAAATTTCGCTTTGTATTTTTTAGGTAGTTACATCCCCACCAACGAAAGCTTGTTATTATTATTGGTACTACTTCACAATTTGAGCTAAGTCCAGTTTAACAATAAAGATCAGTACGATTACCTTCACGCTCCAGTTACCCTATTAAATATTGAGAACAGTGGGGTTGAACCATGACGTAATGGCACATAATGTCTATAATTAAAATATGACAAAAATTTGTCATGGTGAAATCACGAGTTTTAGGGTGGTTTTAGACTTTAATAGTACACTTGTACATGTTTCGAAATGGCTGTCACTGTGTTATTATTAATTTCCTACGTTCTTGCCACAATTTTGATCAGTTGTTTTGGCTGTTTTCTATGTTTTATGGCATATATATATCACTTGCATAAAACCACTGAACATATTCCTAGTCCACCTCGCTCGAGTTTCATCTTGGGACACCTCCCTGATGTCTGGAAATACAAAGCTGCGACTGGACGAACCACGGGCGAATATCTGTTGGAAAAACGGTTTGAATACGGTCCAATTTTTATCCTGTACTTCGTACATAGAGCTCTAGTTTTTCTAGGGGATTCGAGCTTTTTGAGACACGTTTTTATAAATAATCACAAGAGCCTGGGTAAGGATGGTTTTGTCTACCATAAAGTTGGTTTTGTTTATGGTGAGAGAGGGGCAGGCTATGGAATTGTGAGCAACACGGACGAAGTGTCATGGCACAAGCGACGGCAAGTCATGAACCCTGCATTTCATCGAAAATGCCTACGAGATTTTGTGAGTAATTTTAACAATGTCTGTGATAGATTTTTAGCCCACATGGATACAGTTGTTGATAGCGGTAAGCCGACCAGTATGGTTTTAGAGTTTGGGAAAGTCACTTTGGAAGCTATCAGTCAAGTATCGTTTAATATAAATACCCATGCTATCGAGCACCCAGATTCCCCATTTCCCAACGCAATACGACACTACCTCAGGGGGGTGCAGGACAATATTGAGATTCCAGTGAGCACAACCCTCCTAACAGTATTCCAGTTTAAAGTGTTTCAGAATGCCACCAAAAAAGAGCAAATCAATGCTATACGGTTTCTACGAAAATTTGCTCACAATTGCATCATTAATCGGATGAAGGACATTGCTGATGACAAAACTGTTCCTGATGACTTATTGAGTCTTTTGATTAAAGATGGCAGCTTGTCAATTGATGAAATAAGTGATGAATTTGTAACTATTTTTGTCGCCGGTCAAGAAACCACTGCAAATTCATTATCATTTGCCTTATATGAAATCATTAGCAATCCACATATTGAGGCAAAGCTTCTTAATGAGGTTAACAACGTGCTTGGTGAGCGTGATTATGTCGAGTTTGATGATTTGGCAAAACTAAAGTACCTCGGTCAAGTTTTAGAGGAAGGTTCAAGGTTGCATCCTGTTGTGTCTGCGCCGTCGAGATTGGTGGCGAAAGGTCTTACCGTTGGAGGTTATTATATCCCCAAAGGAATTGGTCTCAACAGTCTTCAGCTATTCTTTGGGATGAACCCAGAAATTTGGAAGAATCCTAAAGTGTTTGACCCAGAGCGGTTTACTAATGTTGAGAACATACCAGACTTTCGCATGACGCATTTTCCATTTTCCATTGGCCCTCACAATTGTATCGGACAGACTTTTGCAAAATTTGAATCGAAAGTTATCCTGGCAAAGCTGCTGCGAAAGTTTCAGTTCAAGTTATTGCCTGGTCAGACTGACAGGAGAGAAGCAAGGCTTACTATAACACCTCGGGATGGTGTAATGTGTGATGTCGCAAGACGTGAATGATTAAATTGTGACTATGGGATGTTATTGTTGGATTTTAGGCACAGACCATTAGAAAACTGATGGGGGTGGGTGGGGAAAAACAAGTGAGTAAAATCGTGTGGTGTTTATAGACCAAGTGAAATAGCAAAGTAGGGTGCATTAAGCCTGTTCTCCACTAGGCAATTTTTTTGTGCGATGCAAAGCAAAAAACAAATCTTGGCAATGTGATTGGTCAGCGAAAAAATTTGCCTCGAAAAAAGTTGGTGGATCAGTTCCTACTTTTTTACTGAGTAAAATGAGTAAAACATATCTTTCAATTTTAAGACTACAGCATGTTCTAAGAATGAACATTATTTTCTCACTCTGTTAACTGCAGGTTCACCTGCAGTGAAACCCACCTATTTTTGCAGAAAAGTGTGAGAGTCCATCCCCCCATGTAACTCCAGGAATCGATTAGTGTGTTCAACAATATAAACAATATGTACTCAAGACAGTGAAAAGAAACTTGAGAATCGAAACTTTAATTTTCTTTATATTTATTAATAAATATTTTTGTGCTATATTACTAAATGTCAAATAAAAGTTGGATGAAACTACTGACAAGTTATTGTCATCATCTAGTGGAAAGACCATAAAAGACGGACCAGAGCCAGCCTCGTCCCCAGGCTCCAACTCATCAGTGTACAATGTATAATAATAATACGAGGATTGAGACAATATAAATAAAGTGAGAATAAATAATTTATATTTTTGGAGTAAAAGTGTATTTGATTGTGTGTGTGTTCACATGTGTACCAATTTTTATCAAACTTTCGTTGGTAGGGCAATCCCATACCCAGAGCAATGCCTGGGGGATATTGCCTCTGGGGGAATGGAATTTTTCCTGTGCTGTGATTTGTTTAATGTTTATCAATAGTGCATGCCGACAACAACCGGAACCCCTAAATTTAGGGGTTCCGGTTGTCTATTTCCCCAGAGCCAATGCCTTCCTCGCCCACGCACAGGCATTGCTCTGGGTACGAGATTGTTGGTAGAGGTGCTCAACGTTTCGAGGGGGTGCTCGACGTTTCTAGCGAAGGTCCTTCCGTTGGGAAGGTAGTTATTCGCTCGAAACGGCGAATTTCGCTTTGTATTTTTTAGGTAGTTACACATCCCACCTCACAATTTGAGCTATAAAGTCCAGTTTAACAATAAAGATCAGTACGATTACCTTCACGCTCCAGTTATACCAATTAAATCAACAGTGAGGTTGAACGATGACGTAATGGCAATGTGAAATCGCGAGTTTAAGAGAGGTTTTTATAGTACATTTGTTATTGTTATTGACTTCATGTTTCGAAATGGCTGTCACTGTGTTTTGGCTAATTTCCTACGTTCTAGCCACAATTTTGATCAGTTGTTTTGGCTGTTTTCTATGTTTTATGGCATATATACATCACTTGCATAAAACCACTGAACATATTCCTGGCCCACCTCGCTCGAGTTTCATCTTGGGACACCTCCCTGATGTCTGGAAATACAAAGCTGCGACTGGACGAACCATGGGTGAATATCTGTTGGAAAAACGGTTTGAACACGGTCCAATTTTTATCCTGTACTTCGTACAAAGAGCTATAGTTTTTCTAGGGGATTCGAGTTATATCAGACACGTTTTTATAAATAATCACAAGAGCCTGGGTAAGGATGACTTTTTCTGGCATAAAGTTGGTTTTGTTTATGGTGAGAGGGGAGCTGGTTATGGACTTGTGATGAATACGGACAAAGCATCATGGCGCAAGCGACGGCAAGTCATGAACCCTGCATTTCATCGAAAATGCCTACGAGATTTCATGAGTAATTTTAACAATGTTTGCGATAGATTTTTGGCTCGTATGGATACAGTTGTTGATAGCGGTAAGCCGACCAGTATGGTTTTAGAGTTTGGGAAAGTAACTTTGGAAGCTATCAGTCAAGTATCGTTTAATGTAAATACCGATGCTATCGAGCATCCCGATTCCCCATTTCCAGACGCAATACAACACTACTTCAGGGGGGTGCAGGACAATATTGAGATTCCAGTGAGCACAACCCTCCTAACAGTATTCCAGTTTAAAGTGTTTCAGAATGCCACCAAAAAAGAGCAAATCAATGCTACACGGTTTCTACGAAAATTTGCTCACAATTGCATTGTTAATCGGATGAAGGACATTGCTGATGATAAAACTGTTCCAGATGACTTATTGAGTTTTTTGATTAAAGATGGCAGCTTGTCAATTGACGATATAAGTGATGAATTCGTAACTATTTTCATCACCGGTCAAGAAACCACGGCAAGTTCATTATCGTTTGCCTTATATCAAATCATTAGCAATCCACATATTGAGGCAAAGCTTCTTAACGAGGTTAACGACGTGCTTGGTGAGCGTGACTATGTCGAGTTTGATGATTTGGCAAAACTGAAGTACCTCGGTCAAGTTTTAGAGGAAGGTTTAAGGATGTATCCTGTTGTGCCAGCTCCGTCAAGATTGGTGGCGAAAGGTCTTACCGTTGGAGGTTATTATATCCCCAAAGGAATTGGCCTCAACAGTCGTCAGCTATTCTTTGGGATGAACCCAGAAATTTGGAAGAATCCTAAAATGTTTGACCCAGAGCGGTTTACTAATGTTGAGAACATACCAGACTTTCGCATGACACATTTTCCATTTTCCATTGGCCCTCACAATTGTATCGGACAGACTTTTGCAAAATTTGAGTCGAAAATTATCCTGGCAAAGTTGCTGCGAAAGTTTCAGTTCAAGTTATTGCCTGGTCAGACTGACAGGAGAGAAGCAAGGCTTACTATAACACCTCGGGACGGTGTAATGTGTGATGTCGCAAGACGTGAATGATTAAATTGTGACTATGGGATGTTATTGTTGGATTTTAGGCACACTAGACCATTAGAAAACTGATGGGGGGGGGGGACAAGTGAGTAAAATCGTCTGGCATTAGACCAAGTGAAATAGCAAAGTAGGATGCATTAAGCCCGTTCTCCACTAGGCAATTTTTTTTGCGCGATGCAAAGCGAAAATCAAATCTTGGCAATGTGATTGGTCAGCGAAAAAAATTGCAGTGAAAAAGTTGGACAGTTCCTACTTTTTTACTATTTGCGCGAACAAATTCGCATCATAATGAGTTAAAACATATCTTTCAATTTTCAGACTACAGCATGTTCTAAGAATGAACATTATTTTCTCACTCTGTTAACTGCAGGTTCACCTGCAGTGAAACCCACCTATTTTTACAGAAAAGTATGAGAATCCTCCCTCCCCCCATGTAACTCTAGGAATCGATTAGTGTGTTCAACAATATAAACAATATGTACCATACTCAATGACAGTGAAAAGAAACTTGAGAATCGAAACTTTAATTTTCTTTATTATTAATAACTAATAACTATTTTTGTGAATATTACTAAATGTCAAATAAAAGTTGGATGAAACTACTGACAAGTTATCATCATCGTCTAGTGGAAACACCATAAAAGACGGACCAGAGCCAGCCTCGTCCCCAGCACAGAATAAAGACATACAGAAGTGTAACTTCCATTACAAAACCGTAATTAAGGCCTTTTTTACCGAAATAGCTGGCGGCCATGTTCTTAGCAAGTGCCCTAAAGAGAGGCATTCACCCCCCTGGAATATTAAATTTTCAATATGTTTTCAGGGGGGTGACTGCCTCTCTTTAGGGCACTTGCTAAGAACATGGCGGACTGAAAAAATCCCTTACGCTCTTTTAATAAGAAGATACACTTCTGTATGTCTTTATTCTGTGTCCCCAGGCTCCAACTCATTAGTGTACAATGTATAATAATAATAGGAGGATCGAGACAATATAAATAAAGTGAGAATAAATCATTTATATTTTTGGAGTAAAAGTGCATTTGATTGTGTGTGTGTTTGCATGTGTACCAATTTTTATCAAACTTTCATTGGTAGGGCAATGCCATACCCAGAGCAATGCCTGGGCGAGGGAGGCATTGCCTCTGGGGGAATGGAATTTTTCCTGTGCTGTGATTTGTTTAACGTTTATCATTAGTGCATGCCGACAACAACCGGAACCCCTAAATTTAGGGGTTCCAGTTGTCTATTTCCCCAGAGCCAATGCCTTCCTCGCCTGCACACAGGCATTGCTCTGGGTACGAGATTGTTGGTAGGGGTACTCGACGTTTCGAGTGAAGGTCCTTCCATTGGGACAAGGTAGTTATTCGATCGAAACGTCGAATTTCGCTTTGTATTTTTTAGGTAGTTACATATCCCACCTCACAATTTGAGCTAAGTCCAGTTTAACAATAAAGATCAGTACGATTACCTTCACGCTCCAGTTATACCAATTAAATACTAAGAACAGTGGGGTGAACGATGACGTAATGGCACATAATGTGAAATCACGAGTTTTATTATTGTTGATCAGTTGACTTGTCCATGTTTCGATCCATGTTTCGAAATGGCTGTCACTGTGTTATTATTAATTTCCTACGTTCTTGCCACAATTTTGATCAGTTGTTTTGGCTGTTTTCTATGTTTTATGGCATATATACATCACTTGCATAAAACCACTGAACATATTCCTGGCCCACCTCGCTCGAGTTTCATCATGGGGCACCTCCCTGATGTCTGGAAATACAAAGCTGCGACTGGACGAACCACGGGCGAATATCTGTTGGAAAAACGGTTTGAATACGGTCCAATTTTTATCCTGTACTTTGTACATAGAGCTATAGTTTTTCTAGGGGATTCGAGCTATTTGAGACACGTTTTTATAAATAATCACAAGAGCCTGTGTAAGGATGGTTTTGTCTGGCATAAACTTGGTTTTGTTTATGGTGAGAGGGGGGCTGGCTATGGAATTGTGACCAATACGGACAAAGTATCATGGCACAAGCGACGGCAAGTTATGAACCCTGCATTTCATCGAAAATGTCTACGAGATTTCATGAGTAATTTTAACAATGTTTGCGGTAGATTTTTGGCTCGCATGGATACAGTTGTTGACAGCGGTAAGGCGACCAGTATGGTTTTAGAGTTTGGGAAAGTCACTTTGGAAGCTATCAGTCAAGTATCGTTTAATATAAATACCCATGCTATCGAGCATCCCGATTCCCCATTTCCCAACGCAATACGACACTACCTCAGGGGGGTGCAGGACAATATTGAGATTCCAGTGAGCACAACCCTCCTAACAGTATTCCAGTTTAAAGTGTTTCAGAATGCCACCAAAAAAGAGCAAATCAATGCTACATGGTTTCTACGAAAATTTGCTCGTGATTGCATCCTTAGTCGGATGAAGGACATTGCTGATGATAAAACTGTTCCTGATGACTTATTGAGTCTTTTGATTAAAGACAGCAGCTTGTCAATTGATGAAATAAGTGACGAATTCTTAACCATTTTCATCGCTGGTCAAGAAACCACTGCAAATTCATTATCATTTGCCTTATATCAAATCATTAGCAATCCACATGTTGAGGCGAAGCTTCTTAACGAGGTTAACAACGTGCTTGGTGAGCGTGATTATGTCGAGTTTGATGATTTGGCAAAACTAAAGTACCTCGGTCAAGTTTTAGAGGAAGGTTTAAGGATGTATCCTGTTGTGTCAGGGCCATCAATGTTTGTGGCAAAAGGTCTTACCGTTGGAGGTTATTATATCCCCAAAGGAATTGGTCTCAACAGTCTTCAGCAATTCTTTGGGATGAACCCAGAAATTTGGAAGAATCCTAAAGTGTTTGACCCAGAGCGATTTGCTAATGTTGAGAACATACCAGACTTTCGCATGACACATTTTCCCTTTTCCATTGGCCCTCGCACTTGTATCGGACAGGCTTTTGCAAAATTTGAATCGAAAGTTATCCTGGCAAAGTTGTTGCAAAAGTTTCAGTTCAAGTTATTGCCTGGTCAGACTGACAGGAGGGAAGCAAGGCTTACTGTAACACCTCGGGATGGTGTAATGTGTGATGTCGCAAGACGTGAATGATTAAATTGTGACTGTGAGATGTTATTGTTGGATTTTAGGCACAGACCATTAGAAAACTGATGGGGGTGGGTGGGGAAAAACAAGTAAATAAAAATTGTCTGGCATTAGACCAAGTGAAATAGCAAAGTAGGATGCATTAAGCCCGTTCTCCACTAGGCAATTTTTTTCGCACAATGCAAAGCGAAAAACAAATCTTGGCAATGTGATTGGTCAGCGAAAAAAATTGCCGCGAAAAAGTTGGACAGTTCCTACTTTTTCACTATTTGCGCGAGCAAATTTGCCTCATAATGAGTTACAACATATCTTTCAATTTTAAGACTACAGCATGTTATAACGGAATGAACATTTTCTCACTCTGTTAACTGCACCTGCAGTGAAACCCACCTATTTTTACAGAAAAGCGTGAGAATCCCCCCCCCATGTAACTCCAGGAATGGATTAGTGTCAGTTCAACAATGTATGAAATTTTATAAAAGTAATATAAACAATATGTACTCGATGACAGTGAACAGAAACTTGAGAATCGAAACTTTAATTTTCTTTATTATTAATAAATATTTTTTATAAGTGATATATTATTAAATGTCAAATAAATGTTGGATGAAATACTGACAAGTTGTCGTCATTGTCAGTAGTGGAAAGATGGGCCAGAGCTGTTTCGCGTTAATTTAGGTCATTTTTCATTTAATATATACTATATGGCGGCTGGGTTTTACATTAAGTTGTACCGGAGGTCCGGAGCGGTCCTACTAAATACTGCCCGGAGACGCCCTGAAGCGCCCGGGAGCACGTGAGAACGCCCGGGGATATATAAGATAGTATAAATCAGTGCACGATCCTTTTTGAGTCTCTACGAGGCATTAATGAATGAAAAATAGCATTGAAAGTGATTTTTAGGCAGGCTATAATTATAGCTAAAAGCGCGGTCGCCCACGCAGGACGTTGTGCGAAACATGAGATTATATTTAAATTTATTATAAATGTAAATATTTGCTGTTATTAAATTAAAGTAACTAGTTAAATAAAGTTTTGTTTTAATATATCAACTGCTGAGAACAAGTCAATTGTCGTTTGGCGGCTTTCGAAAAATTTTTGTCAATAAGATTACCAAGATCTATGAGCTATACATAAAAGTCAAAAACAAAAAAGCTCATAAACTAAATCTAAAAAGAGAAGATGAATATATATCCTAAAATTCCCAAACTATACTCTAGAGTAGATAAAAAAAGCATTGATAACGCTATATTTTACTAATATTTAGGCTGAAAACTGCATTTTTGTTTACGCGGAATGCTTTTATGAGTTTATATGACTCTAATTTAATTACGGTAATGTTTTTTATTTGGTCTAATCTTAATGACTTGTTCTCAGCAGTTGATATATTATTAAGCAGTTGATATATGTTTAATATATTAAAACAAAACTAGTCTTAATTTTTTATTTAACTTTGTTTAATTTAATAACAGCAAATATTTACATTTATAATAAATATAATCTCATGTTTCACACAACTTCCTGCGTGGGCGACCGCGCTTTTACCGCTTGTTGCTAGGCTGGTTGAAAATATATTATTGCCTCATAGAGACTAAAAAAGGATCGTGCACTGATTTATATTATCTTGTATATCCCCGGGCGTTCTCACGTGCTCCTGGGCGCTTCAGGGCGTCCCCGGGCGTCCCCGGGCGCTCCGGGCAGTATTTAGTAGGACCCGGTCCGGAGGACATGTGTTCAGAGTAAAATGACAAAAATGTGTCAGAGATAAGAATTTTCTTAAACTGGTGCTTTTTGACAAGACGGAGTAGGGACTCGGGAGTCTATCTTTGCGCTAGGCAATCCATTTTATCAGACTCCATATGGGGCTTTATGGAGCCGTGGCACCAGAGCATAAGAGAATACGAGGTCGTTTTAATTAACTGGTGCCTTTTTTATCTGAAATTGAATACAACCTGCTGATCACTAAAAGCATCGCCACGTGTCAAAATAAAAATAAGCCTCATGCAATTGTAACTATGGCTTTAAGAAATTTTAAATGTATCTTTAAAGTGATTTTTGCGACAGAAATCTTGCTTATCTTAAACATACTTGCCAACTGGCCGTATTTATTTAATCCCGTTCTTCTTAAACCGTGGGAAATGCACAATGGACAAGAATCGATGACGATGGCAAACAGCACGACTGGTAATAAAATAGTCGGGAGAAAGACAAGGTTTTTTAACTACAGTGGTGATAAATACGAAACTACATCGGAAAGTAAAACACATACTCATGGAAAAATGGTTCCTTCGGACAAGATTATGGAAAATATATATGGTTCGGACTGTCCGTTCAACCCTTACAAGCAAACGCTTAACTATTTGTTTAACAACTGGATGGCTTTAGATAATTATTATAATTTTTCAAGTTTTCTATGCGGTGGATCTCTGATTGGCTTGCTAAGAGACGGGGATTTAATACCTTACGACCGGGATATTGATGTGTGCGTCACTATGGAAAATTATCAAAAAGTGCGCGCCATTCATTCAGCAAAACCGTTTGACTACCGGTCCAGTCAAATATATCTGGCAGTACAAGAGGACTTTTCCAACAATAATGTATCGAGTAGGACTCTGGTTGATTGTCGGGGACGTATAGCACAGCGTGCGCGGGATCCCTGCTCGTTCGATACGCCTGGGGCGCGTTTAATATCTCGCAGAGTTTACGTGGACGTTTTTGTATTTCGCGAGCATGGACGGAGATTACGTGATCACGAGTACGGAAAGAATCATCTCAAGACAGATATATTCCCGTTAAAACACTGCACGTTTATGGGCGTGGAGACAAAATGTCCTCGCAATGAAATGTCATTATTGCTGAAATATTACGAACCTGACGTCCTCACAAAGCCACATTATAAATGTCAAAATAAAACGTGGGTAGCAACCAGCCAAGACGCAAACAAACAGTTCAAAATATGGTTTCGCAAAAGGCTCAAACGGCACTATTCGTAAAACTCCTGACGTCAACATAGGTTTGATGCGGTTGGAAAATGCTATGTGACAGTTCGTTTGCATCCAAATGATGGCCAGATAGATATATATATATATAGAAACTTTATTTATACATGCTGACCCCTGATTTCCACGGGGGTGGGAGCGTGTGCAAAAATAGAAAAATATTACATGGAGATATTAAAATACTTAAGTTTAAAAAGGTAGAATATTAAATTATTGTTTACATGCATGATAAGAAGGTTATTAGAATATTTACAGCTACATCAATTTATCTATTACTCTATGTCAATTTTGTGAGCAGCGATTTTATTTCTAAAGGATGAAAGAGTTTTACTTTCCCTAATTTCCTTTGGAATAGAATTCCAAAGATGTGCTCCGTCATACATGAAACTATTTTTCATGTTGTTAGTACGCGGTTTTGGTAAACTAAGACCGCTTGAAATGTCACGAAGGTTGTAGTTTGTTTTCTCGCATTTGTATGAAAAAAGATTAGTGAGTGATTTAAGACCCATTTTATATAATACTTTGTACATCATTTTTGCCTTAGCTTTCTTCCTTTCAGTTTTGAGTGGCTCCCAGCCCAATGCACGTAGAGCAATGGAATGATTTACGTCATTACTCATGTTCAAGATAATTCTAGCAGCTCTATTTTGAAGTTTTTGGAGTCGTTTTGATTGTGATTCACCAAACACGTGCATCCCATACTTCACAACAGTAATCAAAGTATGGGCGAACAATAGCATTATATATCGAAATGAGTGTATATTTGTCAACGAAAGGTTTGACTCGATGAATAGCAGAGATTCCTGCAGTTATTTTTTTGCAAATATTTTCGGAATTACTTTTCCAAGACAAATGCTGGTCAACTATTACTCCAAGAGTTTTGCATTCGCTAACTTGTTTAATTTGCTTATTTTCAATGAAAACATTCAGACGTGAATCAGAATTTTTTTAATCATTGCTTTTGAACCAATTAACATAAATTCTGTCTTAGCTACATATAGGCTAAGTTTATTGGCAATTAACCATTTTCTGAGGTTTTCCAAATCAGAATTTTCTGCAGTTTCAAGGTCAGTTATAGAATCTCCCGAAGCTGTCAGATTTGTGTCGTCAGCAAACAATCGAGGTTTTGTTTTGTTTAGGCACTGATCGAGGTAAATCATTTATATATATAACAAAAATAATAGTGGTCCTAAGATAGAGCCTTGTGGTACGCCACATTTAATCAATCGCTCTGTAGAAAAGGAATTTTTAATTTGGCACTTATGGTTTCTGTTTGTGAGATAAGATTTGAGCAAAGTTAGAGCTTCTCCTTTTATTCCATAAAGTTGTAACTTCCTGAATAGAATTTGATGATCAACAGTATCAAATGCATTTATTAGATCAATTAAAACTACTAGGTTAAACTTTTTTCTGTCTAGATTCATATACCAATCATTGGTACAGTCTAGTAATGCAGTTGCTGTAGAATGAGATTTTCGAAAACCGAATTGAGAATCGCTAAGGAGTTCAATGGCGAAAGGTCTTACCGTTGGAGGTTATTATATCCCCAAAGGAATTGGCCTCAACAGTGTTCAGCTATTCTTTGGGATGAACCCAGAAATTTGGAAGAATCCTAAAGTGTTTGACCCAGAGCGATTTGCTAAATGCTAATGTTGAGAACATACCGGACTTTCGCATGACACATTTTCCATTTTCCATTGGCCCTCGTAATTGTGTCGGACAGACTTTTGCAAAATTTGAATCGAAAGTTACCCTGGCAAAGTTGCTGCGAAAGTTTCAGTTCAAGTTATTGCCTGGTCAGACTGACAGGAGGGAAGCAAGGCTTACTATAACACCTCGGGACGGTGTAATGTGTGATGTTGCAAGACGTGAATAATTAAATTGTGACTGTGAGATGTTATTGTTGGATTTTAGGCACAGACCATTAGAAAACTGATGGGGGTGGGTGGGGAAAAACAAGTGAGTAAAATGATAATCGCCTGGCATTAGACCAAGTGAAATAGCAAAGTAGGGTGCATTAAACCCGTTCTCCACTAGGCAATTTTTTTCGCGCCATGCAAAGCGAAAAACAAATCTTGGCAATCGAAAAAATTTGCCACGAAAAAAAAAATTGGATCAGTTCCTACTTTTTTACTATTCGCGCAAACAAATTCGCATCATAATGAGTTAAAACATATCTTTCAAGTTTCAATTGCAGTGAAACCCACCTATTTTTGCAGAAAAGTGTAAGAATCCCCCCCCCCCATGTAACTCCAGGAATGGATTAGTGTGTTCAACAATGTGTGAAATTTTATAAAAGTAATATAAACAATATGTACTCGATGACAGTGAAAAGAAACTTGAGAATCGAATCTTTTAATTTTCTTTATTATCAATAAATATTTTTTGTAAGTGATATATTATTAAACGTCAAATAAAAGTTGGATGAAATACTGACAAGTTGTCGTCATTGTGTAGCGGAAAGACGGACCAGAGCTGTTTCGCGTTAATTTAGGTCATTTTTCATTTAACATATACTATATAGCGGCTGGTTTCTCCAGCCATGTTTAGCATGTTTAGCCGCTGGTTTCTCCATACCTTTCTTCTGGTTGTACCGGAGGACATGTGTTCACAGTAAAACGTGTCAGAGATAAGAATTTTTTTAAACTGGTGCCTTTTGTTTTAAACATATTTAATGCGAAAAAAGATTCGCGCGTTTGCCCCAAGAGCAAGATGCTCATCTAGGGGGCTTACGCTAATAATATATAAAGATATAAATTACATTAAAAAATTACAACAACACAATACTCACAAGATAATAATTAAACAAAGTGTCAAGAGTAGGGAATCTATCCGCGGCTTTGCGCTAGGCAATCCATTAGTTTATCAGACTCAGAGCATAAGAGAAAATAGCTTGGATACGAGGTTGGTGGTGTGTTTGTTTTAACTGGTGGATTTTTATCAGATTGACTGAAAGTCAATGCAACCTGCCGACCACTAAAAGCATCGCCTCGTGCAAAATAAAAATAAACACATATACACGCACAAACGAACATTAGTATAAAGACTCATGCACTTGTATCTATGGCTTTAAGAAATTTTAAATGTATCTTTAAAGTGATTTTTGCGTCAGCAATCTTGCTCGTCTTAAACATACTTGCCAAATGGCCGTATTTATTTAATCATGTTCTTCTTAAACCGTGGGATATGCACAATGGACAAGAATGGATGGCAAACAGCATGACTGGTAATAAAATAGTCGGGAGAAAGACAAGGTTTTTTAACTACAGTGGTGATAAATACGAAACTACATCGGAAAGTAAAACACATACTCATGGAAAAATGGTTCCTTCGGACAAGATTATGGAAAATATATATGGTTCGGACTGTCCGTTCAACCCTCACAAGCAAACGCTCAACTATTTGTTTAACTACTGGATGGCTTTGGATAACTATTATAATTTTTCAAGTTTTCTATGCGGTGGCTCTCTGATTGGTTCGCTAAGAGACGGGGATTTAATACCTTACGACCGGGATATTGATGTGTGCGTCACTATGGAAAATTATCAAAAAGTGCGCGTTATTCGTTCAGGAAAACCGTTCGACTACCGGTCCAGTCAAATATACCTGGCAGTACAAGAGGACTTTTCCAACAATAATGTATCGAGTAGGACGCTGGTTGATTGTTGGGGACGTATAGTACAGCATGCGCGAGATCCCTGCTCGTTCAATACGCCCGGGGCGCGTTTAATATCTCGCAGAGTTTACGTGGACGTTTTTGTATTTCGCGAGCACGGACGGAGATTACGTGATCACGAGTACGAAAAGAATCATCTCAAGACGGATATATTCCCGTTAAAACACTGTACGTTTATGGGCGTGAAGACAAAATGTCCTCGCAATGAAATGTCATTATTGCTGAAATATTACGAACCTGACGTCCTCACAAAGCCACATTATAAATGTCAAAATAAAACGTGGGTAGCAACTAGCGAAGACGCAACCAAACAGTTCAAAATATGGTTTAATAAAAGGCTCAAACGGCTCTATTCGTAAAACTTCTGACGTCAACATAGGTTTGATGCGGTCGGAAAATGCTATGTGACAGTTCGTTAGCATCCAAGACCAAGTGATGGACAATGGGTGGTTCCAGGGATCGTGGAACCTGTTTAAGGATAGCATGGGAGCTATTCCGCACAGGCAGGCTGGATTTTATCCGGTAATTTTTATTATATCCACCGAAAAAGTGGGGGGCCATGGCCCCCCGGCCCCCCTGTTCCACGGTCCCTGAATTCCAGCTATACTCCTATAGACTAAATTTTCATCAAGGCAAGAAGAACGAAATCCAACACCACAGCTAGAAAAAGCGTCTTAGAATGAGTAAAACTGCAAAGATTGGTTGCTAAATGTTGTAAAATGAAGAACTATACGTAGCCCTGTGAAATTCGCAAATTTTGTATACTAGTATTTGTATGATATTACGCGCGGTAAAAACAACCACTTTCGGCTCAAAAATGGTTATTTTTCACGCGCGTATACAAAATATATACAGAATTTGCGAACTTCACAGACATAGGTTTATATTTTCCTCATTTTACAACAATTCGCAACCAAACTTTGTAATTTTACTTATTCTAAGATGCTCTTTCCAGCTATGGTAATGGCTTTCGTTTTTCTTGTCTAGATCAACATTTTGTTTATAGCTAGAATCACCATTACAGACTACGTTGCATTCTTCGCGGCTGCTCCTGTCTAAAAGTGTATACAATTTTTTCAGTCTGCAAAAACCTTTCAGAATGCAGATAAACACTGATAAAAAGTGTCTATGTTGACATGAAACTCCTTGCAAGCAGCTGTTCCGTCTAAAGATTCAGACACACCGGACGCGATTCAACAACGCGACGCGATTTTTTAGTTGTTGAAATTTAATAAAACAGCCAATGAGAGCAAATTTTGAAGGATATGTGGACCAAATCACTCAAAATGTTATACCGCTTCTAAATATTTGGAAAGTTTAAACTAGGATCAAAGTTATCGGTCAGTGAAAATCGAAAAATCGCGTCGCGTTGTCGAGCCGCGTCCGGTGTCCGCGATTCGACAGCGCGACGCGAATTTTCAGTTTTTAAAATCAACTATATAAAACCGTTAATGGATAAAAATTTTACAAGATATGCAGACCAAATAGCTAAAACTGCTTAAGTGGTTCCGAATATTTGAAAAACAGAGCTGGTAAAAAATAGTAAAGTTAAATGTCATTGAAAATTGAAAATTCGCGTCGCGAGGCCTGAACCACGACGGCTAAATTCTTCGCGAGAAATTGTGTCTGCGAAATACGGATGGGTGTCGTTGTTCCATACTGCAAGCGATCCGTTTTCATCTCGCTGGTTTAGAAACCGTGCTCAAATTGTTACGACAAAGGAATTCTGACTTGAGCGTTTCTGAATTTTAACTTCGTAAAACCGTGTTGAATGCGAATGATGGTTAATTGAAGGAATACAAAGTTTTCTTCAAAATAATATCAGTGTTTTTAATGAGTTTGTCTTGGATTTGGGGTTACAGGGGCAGCTTTCAACAATATTCAAGAAGTTCAGATGAGAATGACAGCTGATGAGAGCGGCATTGGCAACGCAGACGAGTTAGCCGAATCCGCAGCCTTGAGTTGTGGTTCATATTTTCATTATTGATGAAAGTTTTGTAATATCAAGTCTCCTGCAACTCTCATGTAACTCTTATTCTCTCTTGACTGCGAGTTGAACTCTATTTTGCCGCGGAGCGAGCGACGACTTTGCTACTTTTATCGGCCCGGCGGAAACACAGACAACACATGCCACTATGGCAACTGTCATTGAAATTTCAAATCTCAAATGAAAGAGCGGTATTCACTTCAATGGTCTATTAAACGCTCATTGAATTCACATAAAGGCAATTGGTAAGTCCTTTGCGGTGAACAAATTGCTTCCAGCAGAGTTTTACAAATCCAAACCACCCATTTATTACAGATAATTGTGGTTCCAATCTTTCCCGAACTCGGATTGAGTTGAATACAAACGAACGTGCAAAGTTTCGCAAGAAAATATGAGATGTTAACCCCTGCTGTAATCAAAAGACAAGTGCTTTTCTAACTAATTTATTCATAGCATTTTTCCTGCGTGAAAAAACAAAAAAGATGAATTATTTGTATTGTCCCCCGCTGACACGTGATGTTAAACAACCAATGGGGTCGCGGTGCGGCATTACCAATAATCATTTATCAACTATCAAAAATGCTCATTTCTGAAAGGTTAAAAGTTTATCTAACGCAAAAATAAGACCAAAATGCGGAGGGAAATGACGTTTAAATGCTTCTGTTGGCTTATTTCAACAACTTGAATTCATGTTGGTCATTGCGGGATGATTTTATTTCAATCTGAGAAGATTTGTGGTCGATTTGGTGGTCTGGACGATTGTTTACACTAACAGCAGATTGTTAATCTCATATGCCTAAAACATGGCGCATTGTTTGTGGCTACTATTGCTAACTTTATCGAATGTTCTTTTAACTCAAAAACCTGTAAATGGCAAAAGGATTCGTATTTGTCCGTCTACAAGAACTGGTACGCAACTTCTATCGCTTACAGACGCAGAAAGGACGAATTATACGTTCATTTTCTCACGAAACGCCGGAATTCTTCAAGAATTTTTGGTTATCAATCAAGTGACTGGAATTGTTACTTTACACCGTGAGATAAAATGTGATATTTTTCGTGAAAAAATATTTGTAGTTACAGTGCGATCTACAAGTGTCGGGCTTCCCAGAGTACATTTTTGGGCGCCGATTATAGTTACATTACATAACAGACACGCTTGTCTGGTTGTTAGAAAAACTAAGTTGAATTCCAATAACACTAGACATGAACGAATTTCCGCTTATGAGAAACATGACTTGTCGCCTTTTAACAAATCTAGTGGTGTTTTCACAAATAGAAGTAGACTAAATGATCGGCTGGGGTATAAAAATGATATTTCTAATCATTTGTACAAGTTCAATATAAGAACAAAGTCTGGGGGTATACATTTAAGGAATAGGTTAAAACGTGATGTTTATAAGGTAGGCATTAACAGATACCAAAACAGACAAGTAGAAACAGGTTACTTTATCAGGGTTAAACGTAATACCAGGAACAATGCACCGAAATTTGCAAACCCCTCAGAAAATGTTGCTATTCGGGAAGACGTGAATATTTCAACTCTTGTGTATACTGCGTCTGCATTGGATACCGATAGTTACTTGGCAGGCACACTTGTGTATGGTATGAAACCTATGGGTAATATTCGCAGTCAAGATTTTTTCCAGATTGATCCAAGCACAGGGAAAATCAGAACCAAGGCTTTGCTTGATCGCGAGACCATGGCACAGCATCAATTCCAGGTGACGGCAACAGATAAGGGTACCCCACCATTGAAGGGAAGTATGGTACTTACAATCAAGGTATCGGATGTTAACGACCATGCGCCGGTCTTTGATAAAAAAGTTTACCAAGAGAATATATCGGAATCAGAGGATAGTGGTTCTACCGTATTGGCTGTTCGTGCTTATGATTATGATGAAGGACGGAATAAAGATATTAAATATAGCATTGTCAATCATAGCGGAAAAACCAGAGTTTTTATTATTGGTGAAAAATCTGGAATTATCCGCGTTGATGATGATTTAGACCGTGAAAAAGTTCCATCGTACCATTTGGTTGTCAAAGCAGAAGACCAGGGGAAACCAGCGCTAAGTTCAACTGCTGATGTGTTTATTGATCTCATTGATGAGAATGACTGTATTCCGGAGTTTAACCAAAGCATGTATGATTTCTTTGTTGCAGAAAATAGCCTTAGAGGAACGGTAGTTGGCAGAACTAACGCGACGGATTGTGACATTGGTCTGAACAAAAAAATTCGATATAGTATAACCTCTGGGAATGAGGACCAAGCTTTTCAAATCGTCATGAATTCTGGTGTCATCCGTGTGCAAGGCTCATTAGATTTTGAGCAAAATTCATTATACACACTTCAAGTAACGGCTGAAGATTCTGGAGAAGTGCCAGAATATAAAGAAGTGTGGGTTCAGATTGAAGTCACAGATGTTAACGATTCTCCGCCAGAGTTTGTTAAGAACAAATATCGATTCAGTGTTGCCGAAAATGTAGGTACAGACATTGTTGTTGGGACTGTTCTTGCGACAGATCGTGATTCGGATGACAATGCCAAAATTGAGTATTTTCTTAGAAATAAGAATGTCCCATTTAGGATTGGTTTATCTTCTGGTAAACTTAAAACAACTGGCAAACTTGACCGTGAGACTGTGCCGACATATCAGCTGGAAGTTATAGCCCAAGATAAAGGGAAACCTCCCTTAAAGAATTCTGTAACGGTTTATATCGACGTAGATGATATTAATGATAGTCCGCCCTCGTTTGAGAAAACAATGTATAATGCCACCATTGACGAGAAATACAGGTCTCGACGACCATTTCTCAATGTGGTTGCTAACGACAAAGATACGATTGGCCAAATTCAGTATTCCATAAAAGATGAGCCTTATAATTGTTTTGCAATCAATTCATTTGGTGGAGTAACAAAACTCCGATCTTGTAAGCTCGATTACAAGAAGAAGAAAGTTTATTACTTTAAAGTGGAAGCATCAGATGGACTGCACAGCTCATCTGTTCAAGTGGTTGTCCATATACAAGATTCAAATGATAACGCCCCACAGTTTACAAAATCTCGTTACATTGGTCAAATTTACGAGAATGATACCGCCGGGACAACAGTCACAAAGGTGACAGCAACTGATGACGATTTTGGTAAAAATGCTGAAATAACCTACTCAATCGTTGGCGGTAGTACAGTATTTAAGATCAATTCAACAACTGGTGTGATAACGAACCTTGTTAAGTTGGATAGAGAACTTACACCAAAGTATAAGTTGAAAGTGCTCGCTACAGATAATGGGAAACAGAGAAAATCAGGACGGACTCGTGTGGATATTAGGGTTAAAGATATTAATGATAATGTACCGCGGTTTGAAAAGTCGTTGTATAGGGTCGAGTTGGATGAGAACGTCCGTGTTGGGAAGTTGGTGATACCGCTCGAAGCCACTGATGAAGATGAAGGATTGAACAAACAAATATCATACTCACTTGAGAAGAAGGGTAAGGAAGTTATGTTTGGTGAAATGGTAAAGTAATTCTTCATGTTAAGGTATTGATAAGGTTTCGGTAAGCATGGTATGGTAGCATATGGTTGTCAACTTCAGAATATTGACGCTTTTAGGAGCAAGAAAATTGAACTAAATATCTTTCTCTTATGTATAAGTTTCTAAATACAAGACTATGACATATAGTGAAAAGAATTAATGTTATTTTCTCATTTCTGATAAGTGCCAGTTGTCGTTGACCATCATCTACTGCACGACAGTGCTCAGTGAAACCCCCTAAATGCACCTCAGTCCCATCAGCTGCTGGATGATATGTTTATACATATTGTTTGACTTTCAATACGTATTAGGCAACATCAATACTGCATTCAAGATTAACCAGGATCTTGGCGACATCACAGTGAACCAGGAATTGGACAGAGAGAAGACACCAGAATATCTTCTAACTGTTGTGGCTACCGACCATGGAAACCCTACTCAACATTCTACCACTCAAGTTAAGGTATGAAAAGCTGTGATGAAGTAAAGTGAACTAAACTAACTTTATCTATACTGGATAGCTCAAAACTGTTCTTCCTAGAGGTTCAGTAAGAATCATCTCTTATTGATCCAGTGTTACTGCAGGAGGAAAACCAGCTCTAAACTGTTCGTCCTAGAGGTCCAGTAAGGATCATCTCTTATTGATCTAGTGTTACTACAGGAGGAAACCTAAACTAAACTAACTTTATTTATATTGGATAGCTCTATCAGTTCTAAACTGTTCTTCCTAGAGGTCCAGTAAGTATCATCTCTTATTGATCCAGTGTTGCTACAGGAGGAAGCCTAAATTATGCTAACTTTATTTATGCTGGACAGCTCTAGCAGTTTTAAACTGTTCTTCTTGGAAGCCCAGTAAGAGTCATCCCTTATTGATCCAGTGTTGTTGAAGTACCTGGAGAAAGTCGTGTTTGATAGAGTCAACGTGGAATCACTCTTCTCACACACGGCTGAGATGAAATTATGATGAGACAACTGCAGAAAACTAGAGATTCCCGAATAAACTGCGCTCCAAAGGCGTTTCTGACGTATTCCAAATGTTTCCTGGCGCATTCTGAACGCGTTTCATGAAGTTCCGTTCCTCAGACGCGTTGCAAGTGCATTTCATAGCGTTCTTGCAAAACATTCGCTGCAATACTCGTAACGCTGTCAACTAGAACGCATAACTTTGAACGCGTCAAAAATGAAATTTAGAACGCAAGCGCAGTATTAAATTTCTCCATCATATTTTGCGTAAATCAGCATTCTAATTCCCTGTTGGTTAAATTTACAGTATCTTATTTTTGCGTAAATCAGCATTCTAATTCCCTGTTGGTTAAATTTACAGTATCTTATTTTTGTAAACTCATTTTGCTATGTCTAGGTAACTTTAAAAGACATTTTAGACAGTCCGCCAAAGTTTGAAAAATCGCGCTACATTATCAAAATTCCTGAAAACTTTGCATTGAAAAAAGAACTCATTCGTGTGAAAGCCACGACTCGAGACATTGTGAAACACGCTAGCATTCAATACGACATCACTGGTGGTAACTATGACAATATGTTTACAATATTTGGTACCACAGGTAGTATCGAACTGGTGAAATCGTTAGACTTCGAAAGCAAAACGAGCTACCTCCTGACAGTCCAAGCGATGTATGTGTCCTATTTGGCTTCCGCTGAAGTCCAAATTAACGTTGTCGACATCAATGACATGAAACCGAGACTGGCACAAAATTTTGAAATTTTGATCAACATGGGAGAAGGCCGTTTTCCAGCGGACATCAACTTCAGAATACCAGCGTACGATCCCGACAAAAGTTCCAAGCTTACCTACACAATAACTTTGAAGAACGAGCGAGCGAAAAATGCCGTGACAGTCGACAAAACTACTGGTGTTTTGAGCATAAAGGAATCGGCTCTTGCAAATACAAACAGGATACCGTTTACAGTTCAAGTGTCAGACGGCGCTCACACAATAACCAGAATAGGCAGTATTAATCTGAATGTCATCACAGAACCTTTGCTTCGAGCCAGTGTGCCCGTCTACCTTAACAACGCCACAGCTTCGAAGTTTTTTGCTGTTTTGAGAAAATTCAAGTTGAGGTTGGGGTCGATTTTAGGCGTGAAAGACAGCAATGTTATAGTATTTTATGTGGTAAATACTACAAGAACTTATACAAAGTTTGTTGAAGGAGTTGGCTATGTTTCCATCCCAGATAACTACCTCACCGTATGGCTAGCTGTTCGGAACGGAGATGGTTTTGTAGAAGGAAAACTGGTTTTGGAAAAGTTGTTTTTCAACGTGAATCAACTTGAAGTGGAAACACGTATGGTTGTGTTGCCTTCGGATAAGGAAATCAAAAAAGGAAAAGACTCGAATCATTATTTGCTCGTGCGAGAAGCTTGTAAAACAAGCGAGAACAGCTACCTCACTTGTATGATAAATAAAACGTTTGTGAACAGCCCAGGACAATTGCTAGTTACCCCCTCTGCTGTGTTTTATGGTGTCAAGATCCGCGAAGTCCTCAGACCTGTGTGTTCAGCGGGGTTTTACGGTACTTCATGTAATCTGAGGTTAGACGCCTGTTACTCGAGCCCGTGTTTGAACCACGCCAAGTGTATCAACTACGAAGGAGGATATCATTGCGCATGTGCAGAGAATTACGTTGGCAAAAATTGCGAGATTGATGTGAGGAAGTCTAGATGTTCAAAAATTCCAGGTGGGTGATTGTGGAAGATAAATCATTTTAGTAAAGCTCCCTGTCAAACGATGGATATAAGAGTTGGAAGCGAGAGTTTGCATGAGAATTGAGAATGGAGAGTTTGCATGAGAGTTGAGAAGGAAGAGTTTGCATGAGAGTTGAGAAGGGAGAGTTTGCATGAGAGTTGAGAAGCGAGAGTTTGCATGAAAATTGAGAATGGAGAGTTTGCATGAGAGGTGAGAAGGGAGAGTTTGCATGAGAATTGAGAATGGAGAGTTTGCATGAGAGTTGAGAAGGGAGAGTTTGCATGAGAATTGAGAATGGAGAGTTTGCATGAGAGTTGAGAAGGGAGAGTTTGCATGAGAGTTGAGAAGGGAGAGTTTGCATGAGAGTTGATAAGAGTTCGAAAGCGAGAGTTTGCATGAGAGTTGTTGAGAGTTCGAAAGCGAGAGTTTGCATGAGAGTTGTTGAGAGTTGGCTAGACAATATCAGTCAAACAACCTCATAAACTCTCATCAAAATTTGAACGAGCTCAAAGTTAATGAGAGTGCATGAGTTGATCGATGAGAGTTGATGAAACTTGGCGGTCACTGACATGAGCGACTTTCATCAACGGCAGCGCTCATCCTCGTTTTCCCAGGACTTAAAGTAAAGCAATTGAAAGTAAAGCAAAGCAAAGTAAAGCAAAGTTAATATTATGATGGTAATCCTCTTTTGTCGCTTATCAGCTGACCCGCGACCGCTGAAATGCAAGGGGATGCAGCCATGCAGGTCAAACCTGACCATAGGCTTACTAATAGTGAGTTTAAGATACCCCGGTTTCGGTTTACGGGTACGGGTAGCATGATTTTGGTTAGCAATATTTTCGTCGATGTCTGTACTTTTACTCGCAATTAAGGTGCACATTTTTCGCATTATATCATTGTCTATTCCAAAAAACCCCAGAAAAAGTATGATCGAATTACAGACATCAGTAAAAACTAGTAAACACGATGACACCACCCGTACACCGAAACCGGGGTATCTTAAACTCACTAATACTACCATGCGTGCCATGTCTGATCACGTGGTGGTGCTAAGGTGGAAATGATAGTTTTGTGGCGAGGGAGGAAAACTAGCCCGATGTAAAACCCTCGAAGCACGGGGGGGGGGAACTGTGTGGGGTGGAGTCACCCACACTAAGTCATACCCAAGTTTTTATTTTTTAGACAATATTTGTCAAAACAGTGGCGTGTGTCAAGACAATCCGAAACAAGGCTTCCGATGTCAATGTCAGAATGAAAACTATGAAGGACAGTTGTGTCGTGTTACCACAAGAAGTTTTGAAAATGGTTCATTTGCCGCATTTCCAGGTATTTGAATGTTTGATGGTTGATCCTTGGGTATACCCTACGTCTTTAGCACGACTTTTTCTGAGCCGTATCATATATTTCTTTTCTTATTTAAGGTTTAAATCAACGATGGCACATCGATATTTCTCTGGAGTTTGCGACTATCGAACCAAACGGCGTTCTTGTCTACATCGGTCGTTTTGGACACGAAAATGATTCAATGGCTCTGGAGCTTCGAGATGGCGAATTATATTACGTCTTTTCTGCTGGGGATGACGTTCAGACGGTCAGTGTTGGACCTAGCAAAGACGAAAGTATTGTGAATGGAGAATGGCAGACGGTTCAAATCTCCTTTCAACAACAGGTGAGACTTATTGATCTCGGTTTTAGAGGCCAGCACAACTGAGCGGCTGACTAATAAACATCAATGTTTATTTCTTTAGACCGGTGCTCTCGTTCTGGGCAAGAACTGTAAATCTGCCGTGGCTGTAAAGTTTGGAAACCAAATTGGTAGTTTTTCTTGTGCTGCGGCGAAAAAACTGAATGGAAAATTAAGGTAGTTGAATAAATACATTTACATAAATCTTGATCTCGTTCCTAATAGGAAAGCGTTTTCGCTCGAAACGTCGAAGTTTTGCCGATATTTTTTCAGATGGTTGTATCTTTCTCAATCTGTAGCTGTCTAAATTAATTCCAGTCACAGGGCAGGAAAAAAGAATTTTTTTCCTGGGAGCACAACCCAGAGACAAAAATTCCCTGCAGACCAACGGAGTAGTAGTATGCTAAATCTGCATGTGCGTAAAAATATAGTGTTCTAGCTCATTATGATTTTAAATTCAAGGAATAATGTCTGTCAACTATATGTTGTTGCGCCCATAGTGGGACATAGGTGTTAAGGTTTCCTTCAAATTTTCAATAGCAAATCTTCATTCAAACGAATTTCCTGCAGCTGTTTAACATTTCCCGCGAGCAGTGCTCGCGTGCTCGTCTATTTTTCCACCCCTGTCCAGCTTTTCCCAGTATGTATGGAATGTGAAATTTTCTCTCTGATAATTTCCAGGTCGATGGACTTGACCTCTCCATTGGTTCTCGGCGGTGTATCATTCACTCCCTCGAACTTCCCCATCCAGGGACACAGTTTCAACGGTTGTATTCGCAACGTGAAACTAAACCATGCCCCACTGGATCTGGGCAGTCCCATATTTAACCGGAACACCGGGATTGGCTGCAGCAGGAAGAGAGATTTCTGTACGACGGCTTCGTGTAGTAAGAATGGCAAGTGTAAGAGTTCTTGGGATAGGGCTACCTGTTCTTGTGAAGAGGAATACGATGGGAAACGATGTGAAACAAGTAAGTGAAGATAGAACTGTGGAAACACCACATTATTATTTAAGAAATAGAAAACGGTATAGAAACACGCGCGGGAGTTTGGGAGAACGGGAAATACTGTAATTAGTGGGAAAACGAGCTTTCCCACGTTATTTCGAGTTCTCATTACCTTGGCATGAAGTCCACTCGATCGGTTGTCTAGTATCAAGAGAACGATTTCCTTTGCGTTTGATCATGAGTTAAGTTTTCATTTCAGAAACGACATCCCGCGATTTTACTTCGAAAAGTTACCTTGTTAACAAACTACAGAACACGGTGGTTAAGCTGCCCTGGATGACGTCAGTTGTGTTTAGAACAGTCGATGGTACTGGGACGTTAATGCAACTTGTCTTTGGTAATGGTACGTCTTTGTTGGAGGTAGGTTTTCAAATGATTTGAAAATGATAGTTTTAGGCCGGGTTTACACAATAACGCAACGGCAAGTTTACCGTAACGTATTGAGTTTGATCCAGAGTAGTGGTCTGTAGTTGGTACACTACAGCAAACCACTCCGTTATAGTGTAAACACAATACCAAGAAATATAGTGAATTTTTAACAGAATGTTAGCCGTAACGTTATAGTTCATGTAAACGCGTCCTTATGCTTTTACAACGTGGAATAAGCTAGAGGCTGTTCCCACGAAGGGTAAGATAAATTAGGAGCGGGATCAATGTAATTTCTGATCTAACTATTCATTGTATAATTATTGACTAAATATATTTTCACTCCTGCAGCTCAAAGATGCAAACTTACACTACACTCACAATACACTGCACTTGAAGAGCAATAATATCATCCTGGACGATGGACAATGGCATCACGTGGATATCACATGGTCTATGACGTCAGCAAACATGATCATTGATCACGTGCACAAAATAAAATTGTCCACGGGGGAGATGGTGGCTGGTGAGAGTTTGACGCAGGTGACCCTAGGCGATACGGCGAAATCAGGGAAAGGTTTTAAAGGTTGTATAAAAGGTATATCAACAACAACAACACCTTTATTTATATATCATCCAACAACAACACCTTTATTTATATATCATCCCAACAACAACAACAACAACAACAACAACAACAACAACAACAACAACAACAACAACAACAACAACAACAACAACAACAACAACACCTTTATTTATATATCATCCAACAACAACAACAACAACAACAACACCTTTATTTATATATCATCCCTACTTGAACAACCACACCCTGTGTCGTGGAAATGAAATAAATTATTCTAATGAAATAGATTGATGCTTGTGATGTTACTCTGAGTGTATATCCACACCGGGCAAGCTTGAAAAATATGCCTGACCACGGTGGGAATCGAACCTACGACCTTTGGGATACTAGCAGAGTAACGCCACAAGCATCATATTCACCTGAGTACATTACACCAACACAGAAAAAATCATGAAATAGATTATTAAAAAAAATCTATATCTATCTAATTATCTAGGTGTAATGATTGCTGGTTCTCAGTTAAACTTCGTCTCAGCGAGCGCACACATGGTCACAAGTGGCTGTAGTTCAAACACAACGTGTCAGGCTAACACGTGTCCTCGGGAGAGTTATTGTAAGCAAGAATGGCGTAAAACATCCTGTGTTTGTCGGAATGGTTACGTTGGTGAGAAATGTCGAGATGTATGTAGCTTGCACCCATGTCAGAACGGTGCTACGTGTCAGCGGACTAACGATGATGTCGGATTTAAATGTATTTGTCCAGATAAATATTTAGGTCAGTATTTGCTTATGATAACCCAGTGAGCTCCATATATATCTGGAGTAGGAACTTGGTTGCTCAAAGTGTTAACTGCCAGTTTCGTGTTAACCGCGCATACAAAAACAATAGAAAGGGACTGGAACTGACGTCCAATATAGCTCCTTCAATTTCGCCATCTCGGCAAGGAGTGTGTTGAAATTTCGTATTTTGACTTCGATTTAAAGAATAATATTGTGATTTTATGAACTGAAAACTTGATTAGTGATACGGTCCATTAGAAAGAACTGGAATTAGCTTGGGGAAAATGGTATAGAAACTGTTTACGACCTTCAGAGCTATTGGACGTCAATGGCCGCTATCTTGGATTCACTTGGCTTCACTTTTCTCATTGACCGAATGACTGAAGTTCTTACTCCAGATATATATAGAGCTCACTGTGATAACCTTGGTATATTACCAAAACTACCAGGTTTCTACACTACTCTCCGTTCTAAACTGTTCTCCCTGGAGGTCCAGTGATGATCTAGTGTTACTACAGGAAGAAACCTAATTAAACTAATTTTATTTATACTGGATATCTGTATCAATTCTATTAAAAGATTCTGTCCAGAGGTACAGTGAAGGCTAGCCCTTGCAATTGACCACTTGCGTAATAGACTAAATTTTGATCTAAACAAGTCTAGACAAAAATTTCATCACAGCTTGAAAGAGCATCACAAAATTAGTAATATTCCAAAGTTTCGTTGCGAAATGTTGTAAAATGCGGATAATATAGCCTTGCAAACTTCGCAAGGCTATATTTTTGTCTAGACTTGTTTAGATAAAAATTTAGTCTATTACGCAAGTGGTCAATTGAACTAGCGGGGTTTGGTAGAGTCAAACTGGAAGTACTTGTCACTTCTTTGAACCCTGGTCAAAGAGGTGAAATGCACATTAAAACCACTCCGCCACTGCTTTAAATTTGGTTAAATGTCTACGTGTTCTATAATTCTTACTTCTCATTTTCAATTTCAGGTCAGTTTTGTGAGACACGAAGTCAGCTGCCTTGTCGTGATGAATTCTTTAGTGCGTCAGACGGTGGCACATGTGGACCGTGTAACTGTGACCTTAGACTGGAATATAATCCTGTTTGTAATAAGACAACTGGTGAATGTTATTGTAAGGTAGGCTTGGACTTCATTAGGGTAACGTTAAAGAAACCATGGAGTATAGGGGCCGCTTGTTCAAAGGTGGGTTAGCGATAACCCTGGGTTAAAATGTAACCTGCTGCTTTAGTTGTGTATTTCTGCACCGTGAAACTTCAGAGAAGTAAACTCCTATCGATGCAGACAAGATCTCTGAAGAAATATTTCCAAATTTATAGACAAGCTGTCAGGAAGTTTGCTTTGAATTTTAGATTAACCTAGGGTTAAACTAACCCAGCTTAGAATAACCGGCCGCCCCTGAGCTACATTATTAATTTATTTTATTTTATTAAGCTTTCATTGAAAAAATAGAGGATGCGTAGCCAGGTTGAAACATTATTTATTGAACGTTCTCTGACTTAATATTTATTTCTACGAGCTTTCGGCTATCAGTCTATAGCCTTGTATACATATTTGTATACACCCGTCGAAGGCTATAGACTGATAGCCGAAAGCTCGTAGAAATAAATATTAAGTCAGAGAATGTTCAATATAGCTTTCATTGTACAAAATATATTACATGTACAATGAGGCAAGTTTACAACAGGTACATACCCAACAAGGTAAACTGCCAAAAACAATTGTTAGTTATATAGACTAACGACGATAACAGAACATAGTATGATTCACATCAACAAAACACAGTAAACAATACAAAAAACATTGTGCAAAAACATTTAAGTGTAAAAGAGACAGTTAACAACATTGTCTGTAAGACGAGGAGGTCAGATCACGTACAAAGAGACATTTTGGACAGACAGATTTCCAGGTTGAGATATTATCACAGTCAAATGTAGAATCCAGCGCAGACTTGTAATGATGGTAAAGAGCAGATCTGAAACAAGCGACCGATGAAAGGCAACGGGTTGACGTAGGTAGACTGTTCCACAGTTTAACAGTTCGTACGAAGTAACTTTTTTGAAACTGAGAGGTTTTACATTTTGGGACTACATAATCGAGGGAGCAACTGTTTCTAGTTGATTTTTACCGTGGTTATAAAGTACACCTCCACCCACTACCAGGATATTTAGCTGCCCATCCCTATTAAACCATGAGCCTCTGACTCGGGTGAATAAGGCAACAATTGTTATTATTAGTAAACAAATTATTTTTTCTTAGGAACGTTATTTCCGCGCGATCCTGAGCCGAGGAGAGTTGGACGAGGTGTGTGAAGAGTGTCAGTGTGACTCCCTGGGGAGTGTGAATCAGATGTGTCAGCCAATAGGAGGACAGTGTCCATGTTTACCTGGTGTCATTGGTCGTGTTTGTGACATGTGCCAAGCCAAACAAGGAGAGATCACACAGAATCGAAAAGGATGTAAAAGTAAGGATTTTGATGTGGTTATTTTGATTTCTCTGAGATTTGCTAAAGAAACTGTATTATTTTATACTTTGAAACACCATAGTGACCATACCATACCGTACAGTTCCATACCACATCATACCACAACATACCATATCGTACCATACCACATATCATACCACAACATACTATATCGTACCATATCACATATCATTCCATGTACTATACAGTACGATACCATGTACTTACTATTCAATACACTACCATACCATACCATACCATAGTGAAACGCAAGAACTCCTTTTACAAATGCCAAAAGTCTCTTTTCAAATGCCAGAACTCCCTTTTCAAATGCCAGAACTCCTTTTTCAAATGCCAGAACTCCCTTTTCAAATGCCAGAACTTGGTTTTTAAATGCCAGAATTCCGTTTTCAAATGCCAGAACTCCTTTTTCAAATGGCAGAACTCCCTTTTCAAATGGCAGAACTCCCTTTTCAAATGGCAGAACTCCCTTTTCAAATACAAGAACTCCCTTTTCAAATACAAGAACTCCCTTTTCAAATGCCAGAACTCCCTTTCCAAATGCCAGAACTCCCTTTTCAAATGCCAGAACTCCCTTTTCAAATGCCAGAACTCCCTTTTCAAATGCCAGAACTCCCTTTTCAAATGCCAGAACTCCCTTTTCAAATGCCAGAACTCCCTTTTCAAATGCCAGAACTCCCTTTTCAAATGCCAGAACTCCCTTTTCAAATGCCAGAACTCCCTTTTCAAATGCCAGAACTCCCTTTTCAAATGCCAAAACTCCCTTTTCAAATGCCAGAACTCCCTTTTCAAACGCCAGACCTCCCTTTTCAAATGCCAAAACTCCGTTTTCAGATGCCAAAACTCCCTTTTCAAATGCCAGAACTCCCTTTTCAAATGCCAGAACTCCCTTTTCAAATGCCAGAACTCCCTTTTCAAATGCCAGAACTCCCTTTTCAAATGCCAGAACTCCCTTTTCAAATGCCAGAACTCCCTTTTCAAATGCCAGAACTCCCTTTTCAAATGCCAGAACTCCCTTTTCAAATGCCAGAACTCTCTTTTCAAATGGCAGAACTCCCTTTTCAAATGCCAGAACTCCGTTTTCAAATGCCAGATCTCTCTTTTCAAATGGCAGAACTTGGTTTTCAAACGCCAGAATTCCGTTTTCAAGGCATACCATACCATACCATATCATACCATACCAAACCATACAATACCATACCATACCATACTATACCATACCGAACCATACACCAACCTACCATACCATACCATACTATACCATACCGAACCATACACCAACACACCAGAGAACAACACACCATATGATACGTAATCCTGGTACCTCTCACATTTATTTGATATTTTCATAGTCATCAACACGTCATGTCCGAGAGCAAAAGCAGAAAGAATAGATTGGCCGCGAGAGAATTTCGGTGTTGTTGCGGTACATAATTGTCCTTATGGTGCCGAGGGGTCCGCAAGAAGGTTGTGTGCTTTCGGTAAAGGATGGCAAGAACCAGATCTCTCAAATTGTACATCGAGAGGTTTTGTTGACATCGTCAAGTTGGTAAGTTTTTCCTCAGAGCAGAGCAGAGCAGAATCACTCTAATTTCACACTGAGGTGAAATTATAATCACACAACCGCACATACTACAGGAACCAAACCCCTGTTAGAGAAGGCAAATACACTATACATTATACCACCAATAACATTAATAATAAGGCTTCACGACGACTTACCTACAATATATTGTTATCGTTCCAGTTAAAACTTTATGGAAACTTAACGACGCAGACAGCAATCATCATTTCTCATAAAGTGTGGAACATGTTTTCATGGAAAGAATTTTATCAAAAGGACGTCGCTCTAGTATACGAAGTTATTCTCGCCTTGCTGGACTTTGAGAGCAACCAGGTTGAAGATAAGTTGGCGTCCTCTCAGGATAAGAAATTTTTGGACGTAAGTTGCTTTTGGTGTTAAGTTTCGTATCCGGTTTTCTAACTACTCAGGTGTTCGTCGCCAAAACACGCATGTTTGCAGATCGTAAATAACTTAGCCTAATAAACAGTCTGAGTAAGTCAGCGTTCCCGGTTGTTCAAAACTGGATTAGAGCTAACCCTGGGTTAAAATGTAACCTACTGTTTTGGTTTGGGTACAATTGCACTTCTGTTTATTTCAAAACTTTGGAAAATAAAACTTCTATTGATCCACACATGAATTGTGGAAAACTATCTTCATGTTGTTTGTGATGTTACTCTGAGTATATATCCACACCGGGCAGGCTTGAAAAATATGCCTGGCCACGGTGGGAATCGAACCTACGACCTTTGGAATACTAGCCCAATGCTCTGCCAACTGAGCTACGCGGTCAGGTCGGTTCGAGTATGTAATATTTCGGAACTGACTCTAGTTCCTTCGATATCAGTGTAATCTAATAATCATGATATTTGCTGTGTTGGTGTAATGTACTCAGGTGAATAAGATGCTTGTGATGTTACTCTGAGTGCATATACACTCAGAGTAACATCACAAGCATCATATTCACCTGAGTACATTACACCAACACAGAAAAATAATTATCTTCATGTTTCTAAACAGGCTCGGTTGGGAAGATTGTTTGAAATTTTCGTTAACCTAGGATTAAGCTAACCAGCTTTTGAACAACCGGCCCCTGAGTATATATGATGTGTTCAAAGAAAACAGTTTTGAATTTTAATTCCTTTTTTCTTATGAAGATAATTTTGAAAGCTGTAAGTATTTTTGTGGATCCAAAATACACCGAAGGATGGTCATTAATAGAGGAGGTATATCTTATGATTCTTTAGACAGTTTTCATTTACTACACTTTGTGATACATATAACAAGTATAATAATTATCATATGTCTTCTTTATTTATCATTAACAAGCATTGCTGATTATCTAAGGTCTGTTTACATATAGCAGAGTCACATATAGCACGTCACACTTAGGGCCCACTTGCGGACATGCTTCAGGGGCTAGGCTGTAGTGGGGTGTTGCTGGCATTGTGGTTGACGCATGGCCACTCACCTTGACGGGAGTGGAAATTTCTGCAGTTTTTAGGCCTCATCATAGCAGTTAGCCTTCCAGTTTATTTATGGTTCAATGGTTTCCTCCGGCAATAACAATGGACCAGTGACAATGGACGACTCGTAGAGCATTTCAAAATAGTATTATAAACAGCAGTATATCTAATACAATCTTTCTCTGGTTTCCCTAATCCAGACTCCACCAGCGACAGTGTCGTTGATGCGTCAGTTGGAACATTTCGGCATCAGTCTTGCCAGCAATATGGTTTACATCAAGAGAAAAGAGTATCGTGGAAAACAATCCACTTCTAGCCTTCCATCGTACAATAAAGTCGAAAATAATTTGCGTAAGTTTAGTGTAATTAACACTTGATATTCTTGTTTTGAAAAGGGTTTTGATGTTAGTGGAACAGTGGCAAGCTTGCTATACGCGTATACACTAAACCCCCACGAGAAATCATACTCGCATATATATTTTGTAATTTATACTTCATTTTTTCTCACAGTTATGCAGTTGGAACCGGTCAACCCCAACCAATTCTCTGGTTTAACATTTCCTCTTAAAGAACACGAGTCAAGTCTGTTATCATCCGAGCAATGGCGGAACACAAGCAATCGAGTAGAGATCCCACCATCTTTATTTCGCAATCAAGGCGCACCCAGTAAGTCGCAGTAGAGATCCCACCATCTTTATTTCGCAATCAAGGCGCACCCAGTAAGTCGCGAATTTTGTTCTTAAGCCCTGGGCAATTTTGTTCTTAAGCCCTGGGTTTCGGAAACATTGTTTCGGAAACATTGTTTCCTACCAATGTTTCGCCATGGAAACATTGTTTCCTACCAATGTTTCGCCATGTTTCCCAGAGTGGGCAAACACTGGGAAACATCAGTGAGAAACATAGGGAAACATCAAATGTTTTTGAATTTGGCAGGAAACATTTTTGCTTCCCGGGAAGCAAATTTTGTTTCCGCAACAATGTTTCCACAGGTGGGCAAACATGGAAACATTTGAGGAAACATCGAGAATCACAAATGTTTCCACAACAATGTTTCCTAGTTTGCCCAGGGCTTTATTTCTAAACGTTAGATCTATCTAATTTAGGCATGGATATTTCCATTCTAAATCCCTATTTGTACTTGGTACTTTTTAGAGGATGAATCCGCAATTGCATTTATTGCTTTAAAATATCTTGGTGACCTATTGCCATATTCATTTGACACCAAAGCAAGGTGAGTATATACAGTACCGGGATTTGGGAGTGATTATTCAACTTCATTCTTTGATTGATTGTTAATTAAGGTGGCTCAACTTCATTCTTTTCTTGCTCTCAGTTTTAGCGACCTTTCATTGGATGTTAACTCTGACGTCATAATCGTTGGTATCAAGGGAATGGAATCAATTTATCTTCAAGAACCAATCACGATTGAGTTTGAAATTCATGAGGTACATACTGGAATAATAAAATATTTATATTATAGCATGCCATTCCATACGTTCTTGTATTTGTGATATAAAATAAATGTTTTCTTGTCTTACACCATCTTTTCGACAGGTCAATCGTTCACAATATGATTGTGTTTTCTGGAATTACTCTGTCCCGTAAGTTGAACTAAATTCTTCGGATCCTTGCTTATGAATCTGATTTCTGTCCCATACTACAGCGAGCAAATGATGCCTGTGATTCGTTCTTAGATCATTATGGCCATGAAGTAATTTTACTCGATAATACCATTAATGATTAATAATTCAATCTTATTCGATGGTGTTTTGTTTTCCAGTGGCAGACATGGAGGAGGATGGTCGCGAAATGGTTGCACAAAAGCTCCCAGCAACTTCACTCATACTGTGTGTAAATGTCATCATTTAACGTCATTTGCTGTTGTCTCAGATCTTAAAATCGAGGTCAGTTTAACTTTGTCTTCGATCTCGCTAAGTAGGCAGTGAATGTATTGGGGATTATGCAGTTGTCTGATTATAATTTCACCCAGGGATGGATTTACTGGGGGGGAGGGGGCGGGGGAGGTGCACCCCCTAGCCCTGGCTAGAGGGGGGTGCTATTTTTATGATAAAGCAAAAAAGACAAAATGAGATACAGTAATTTGAGTAATAACATGATGATAAGTGAACTGTGAACAACAATTACAATTCAAATACAGTAGTTGATGGGCGGGCGGCACACATGACCGACACAACTCGGCAGTCGGCACCAGAGCACCCCCCTACCAGATCATGCTGGATCCATCCCGATTTCACTTCATTACCAAACATCACAGGTTTTCTGGGTACTAGCTCCAGTTTCCTGTTGTAGTAACACTGGACCAATGAGAGATCGTCCTTAATGGATTTCTAGGAGAGCAGTTTAGATATGTTGAGTTTAAATAACTGGTATCGATCTATGAACCCTTTAGGTTTTATAATTATCCCATCATCAACTTATTACTCGTTATATTTCTATCTGCAGATTCCAGTTTTATCGCCATACACGATTCAAATCGTCACCTACGTTGGTGTTGCTATTTCGCTGGTGATATTATTGGCCGCTGTTATAACATTCACCTGTTTACGGTACACTGTTGTTCGTCTGACACAAGAATTAAATTAATAGTTGTAGTATTAGTTGCCCTGGATGCCAGAGATTGTTTCACGACGCTTGCAAAAATACCGCATAACAAAAAGCCTACTAGACGAGCTGGAGCCAGTCCGTTCCTATTTGACGTGCGTTTTTTTGCGAGCGTGGAAAACCTCTGGAACCCAGGGTAATTATTTGCATGTTCAAGATGTTTACTTTGATAGTACGATTGTATTACACTCTTTTCATGATTATGTTTTTATGTTGTTTTGTAGTGGCCTGAGTTCCAACACAAATAACATACACAGAAACATGGTGCTAGCGATTGTTATTGCTGAAGTCGTGTACGTGTTTGGTATTAACAGAACTTCGAATAAGGTAAGTTAACAATGTTAGATTGATATGATTACTATGATTCCTCACCGAATTCAATGCCAAGAGTGACGTAATCTATTGGTGCTTACTCCCACTCATCACAGGAGGAAAAGATCCCACATCCACATGTACCTAAACTTTAAATTTTTCTTCAGTTGATCTGCAGATTCGTCGCAATTGTTCTCCATTATTTCTTTGACGCTGTCTTTGCGTGGATGTTTGTCGAGGTCGTTCATATGTATCGCAGGCTCACAGAGAAGAGAGACATTGATTCAGGACAAATGACGTTCTATTATTTTCTAGGGTGGGGTAAGTATAGCCTCACCTGTATGTTGTTAGAAGCGACAAGTGAGCTACCTAGTAAACGAAACCAAGAGCTGTATTAGAGATCTGTTAAATGTGTTTTCGTGATTCTGTTGGCTAGATCAAACGGGAACAAAAGTTGTGTTAATTTATATTTTGTTATTAAGGCTGTCCTGCAATCGTCGTGGGTCTGTCAACGGGGATGGCTGTCGAAGGTTATGGAAATGATAAATTGTAAGTACGTTATAAGTAGAAAAAAGCATATAGAGGACAGTGCTTTTCATAATCAATTATACTTTCTTTTTTCGTTCGCAGTTGTTGGATGACAACAAGTGGTACATTGATATGGACGTTTACCCTTCCAATTGCCGCCGTCATGTTTGTAAGTTCTAGTATTGAATTTCAAAGCCAATGGGTTTATTGTGGAAAAGGTTGTCAATTTTGCACTTTATTTTGTTGTTTAGGCAAACTTGGTTGTATTCCTCATGGCTTTACGTTTGTCGGTTCAAAAAGCGCGGAGAAAACGAAAACATCAAGCTTACCATCCAAAGAATGCTCCCGTGACCAGTGTACATAAGAACGCGCTGAAAATCAAGTGAGTTTTGAGACCAACCCTAACGTACTGTACGATTTTACAGAAATACACTGCGCTTCAATACGATTTGGTGGAAGTTGAAGACAGGCTTTAAAGAGCAATATCTAAGCTAAAATATCTAAGCTATAAATCTAAGCAATATCTAAGCTATAAATCTGACATTATTTGAGAAGTGTTGATACTTTTTGTACTCAGGTGAATATGATGCTTGTGATGTTACTCTGAGTGTATATCCACACCGGGCAAGCTTGAAAAATATGCCTGGCCACGGTGGGAATCGAACCTACGACCTTTGGAATACTAGCCCAATGCTCTGCCAACTGAGCTACGCGATCAGGTCGGTTCGAGTATGCGATATTTCGGAACTGAGTCTATAGTTCCTTCGATATCGATGAAATCTGGTAATCATGATTTTTTTCTGTGTTAGTGTATGTACTCAGGTGAATATCGCGTAGCTCAGTTGGCAGAGCATTGGGCTAGTATTCTAAAGGTCGTAGGTTCGATTCCCACCGTGGCCAGGCATATTTTTCAAGCTTGCCCGGTGTGGATATACA